ATAGGGAATTTGTACCTGTACATGATATATGTTAATTCTTTTTTCCCAACTCCCTCCCTTCCCTTCAACCCTTCTTCCTCTCCTTATTTACAAAAGCTTTTCCAATTTTCCTTCTATTCTTTTTTTCTTTTCCTTTCCTTCCTTTCCCCTCACTTCTCCCTGATCCTCCTTCTCATTTGAACATTTTCTTCCTTTGTCCCAATATCTATTATACATTCTGGTCCTTATTTACCTTTTCAGCTTATCACACCAGAGCAATGAGTAGTAGCATCTCACCTCCCTTTAGGACAACTTTTACAGCTTGTGTCTAGATGTCCCTCCAAAACCTCATGCAGTTATAGATGGGGCCTCTTCTAAGGTGGGTGAATCTAGACTGTGTGATTGGTCCATGGTGGGGCTAGGCCCAGGGGCACTAGGATTAAGGGTATGAGTGCTACCTGCCCTAAGATGTCTGAATAAGATAAAAGGGGCAGAAAGAAGCTGTTAAGGTCCTTTGTTGCCTCTGCTACTTTATGTGTGCTGCATTATTTCTCCTTTGTGATGCTGCTTGCCATCTTTGCCTTGGAGGCAGGTGATTATGGACTGAGACCTCTACACACTGTGATCTAAATAAACCTTTCCCCCCTTTAGTTTGGGGTGTTGGGTATTTTGTTTCAGCAATGAGCAAAGTAACTAACAAAACATCCTTCAAGAGAAGAGCATCAAAACAAAGAATGGTGACCTTGGAGGCTTGAATACACTGTAGGCCAAGACCTCACAGAGCAACCAATGGCAAACTGCCTCCCTTGATCCTTATGGCTATATTAGCACCTGGAAAAAGACCAAGGGACAAAAAAGCAGAGACCCTCTTTTCACAGTGTTAGTTTAACCCTAAGAGGTACATAGTACCAAACAAGGTGTCACCCTAAAATTCACATATGCTTCAAAATTAAAAGTTGATAGCTTCTTTTGTAATAGGTGTCCCTCCAATTTTGTGACATCACAATGCACTGGACTGCTCTCCTATACCTGAGAACTCATTGATTCCTGTTTTTTAGTAGAATGAATGTACTGTGGAGCAGAGTTAACTAGTCTTGAATACTTCTGTTGTGGTCAAATTGGAAATAAAATATAGCAATGTAGAGACTGACTAAAGAACATTATTTGTACCACAAACAATACAGTAACCAATTCAATAATAATATGATGGCTTCCAATGTTGGCAAACTTAGAAAAGTTAATGACAAAATGATAAGAAACATTAGGAATCAGTCTAAGTATGTATGGTAAATTGCTTGGGTTGATATCCCCAATTTTTCATACTTCCTGGATATCTATACACTGGTAGTACTCTCCTTGCTCTAATTCTAGCCTTAGCCAGGTAACTTGCCTCTCAAAGCTTTGAAAAATCACTTGGATATTTCTAATTTTTTTGTGGACCTTGCAACTATCACAAGAATGTATTTAGATTACCCTGCAGGAGACTCAGAGACTTGTAGACTGGATCCTAAATGTCCTCCTGAAGCCATGCTAGATAATCCCAACCCAGCCAACCCCAAATTGACATCAGATATGTGAGTGAATCTGGTCAAGATCATCAGAGCCATTATGCTGAGCCATATACTCATTAAAAATGACAACTGACCATAATTTGAAACCCCTGAGATTTGGAGTAGTTACATAATTGTAAGTGGTACAGCATATAATCAGATTAGAGCAATGAAAAATGAGGTTGTGAGTTAAATAAAGGAAGTTAAATGAATGTTTTTTAAATAATGAAACCAAGCAATAATAAAATTATTGCTGTACATTCTATTATTTAATGTATATTATTTTGAATAATTCTTAAAATTACATAAGTAATATAATGCCATGCATTCTGAAGTTTACTTAGCTTCTTTTCTTCTATTTAAATGCTACAGATCTAAAAATTCTCTTAATTATTATAGCTTTACCATGAGTATTTAGAACATATGTTCCAAGGCCTCTGAGGATGCCTAAATTGTCAGATAGTAACCAGCTCTTCCTACTGTTTTTTTCTTATACATTCATACTTATACTCAGCTTTAATTTATAAATTAGACATAGTGAAAGATTCACAACTGTAAAAATAAAATAGAAAAATGACACTTATATGAAACTTGCCAATTGTATATTTGTGGAATTTCCCCTCTAAATTTTTTAGGGCTCAGGTCACCTCTGTGGTAACTGAAACCACAGAGAGCAACACTATTGTAAAAGAGGACCACTGTATAAGGATTTTAGAATGTATTTATCAAGTTCTTTGATAAATTTTATTGGCCATTAGAATTGAATATAGTCCCTATTATGGATAGAATGAAGAGAAATGGCATCTTTTCATTTAGGATATGATATGCCTTACCATTTATTCAGGACTTAATCTGGATTCTTCAATAAATTTTAAAAAGTTTTTATCCAAAATGGACTTGCATAGCTTTTCTCAGATTTATTCTTTAGTACCTGGTTTATATTTAAAATGTTCCCCCAAAATTTCATGGGTTTAGGTGTTGAACAGATTCTGGTAGGGGCCTTGGAGAGTTTAGGAGCTGTGCTTTTAGGTGGGACATGATTGGGAGTGGGTCACTGGGGATGTGACCCAGAAGTGTGCATTCTTGTTCCTTAACATAGAGCCAAGTTTGAGCTGAGATCTTCCTGCTATAGCACACTCACACGCACAAGTCACAAACTGAAGTATCATTACATCTTCTACTATAGTTTTATTTTTCATCATTCCCATTGATAAGTAATTTAAAACATTTCAGAAAGAAGTTCTAAAATTATTTAAAATTAGCATGAAATTTTGGCAACAATAGACTAAAATCCAGGAAATTCTTTTTTTTTTCTTGTATTGAACTGGCCAACAGTTCTAGTATAAATGGTAAAAATAATGATTGTAGATATCTTTATAATTTTTAAAAAGATATTTTAAATGTTTCTCCACTTACAATAATATTTGGTTTATGGCTGGGGATTTACCTCAAAGGTTCTACTGCCTGCCTCACTAAGCACAAGGTCCCAAGTTCAATTCCCAGTACCAACATAAATAAATAAATAAATAATATTTCATTTAAAGTACTTAAAATGTCCTACTCCTAATTTAATGCATGTTTAAATTATCATAAATGGATATTGATTTTACAAATGCTTATCATGGGCTGGCTATATGACTTAGTGGTAGAGTGCTTCCCTAGCATGGACAATCTGCTTTTAATCTTGCTTATTTTTCAAGTATTAAAATCATTATATGGCTTTTAAACTCATCTTAGTTGCAGTTTGTTAACATTTTTATATAATGAGTTAATTTGTGTATCTGTTGCTTGGAATATTATCATCTAGAATATAACTCAAACAGGCCTGTAATTTTTTTCAATATCATTCATACAAGAATTTAAAGCCCATGAAAGGTTTAAACAATGCTCCCACACTCCTTGTGTAGTCCTTATGTCTCTGACCCCAATACACTGGGCGGCTGAGGCAGGAGAATAGTAAGTTTGAGCACGCCCTGGCTAATATAGTGACTTTATGAGACCCTGTCTCAAAACAAAAACAAAACCAAGACAAAGAGTAGGGAGAGGGTTGGGGATAAAGCTCAATGCACAGGCCCTCGTTCAGTCCCTCAGTTCTGCAAATAAAATTAAAAAGGTAAAAGAAAAGATGATGCTCCCACAGGAGAGGTTATAGTCACTTGATATGACAATTTTCATGTCATTAACACCACTCCTGGTGATGTGCAATGTATGTTGCCGACAGTTAAAAAGTTCTGAAGTAGAACAACATGCATATAATTGTTTCCCTTTCCAGTGTGAATCCCAGGACTTTTTCTTTGCTCCATAATATCTTGTTAAATTATTAAAAGACAAAAAGAAGATATTGTAGTCCAGTGAAGAAAATATATCGAGAAGTATACCTTGACCTAGTACAAGTGTCTCATATTTTTTAAATTCTGTGGCCTGTTAGTCTTATTATCAATCTGTATTCATGATAATTAACTTGATAAGGTCATATAAGATAAATAAATGAATCTGATGCTGGAAAAATAAAAGGGAGTGACAGGAAGGAGGGGGGGAAAGAATTGAAATGTGTTATGTACATCTGTCAGTTCCCTACAGTGAATGTAATCATTATGTACTGAAAACATGTACTAAAAAGGTTTAAAAAAGACTAAGAAAAAAATGTTGGGAAATGCTGAGTTAATGGGAACATGAAACTTTAAAAAGAAAAAAAGAAAGAATAATTTGACCTTTATGGACTGAATTTCCATTTTTGGTGCTATGGGAAACACCTCAAAAATGGGATCAAATAATAAGTTTACCCTGTTTTGTTCTACACAGAAAATCTGGAAGTTGAGTATTACCAGCAATACTACTGCATAAAAAGTTCATGTTCTTCCAGTAGCCTTGATCAGGGATCATCAAACTGCAGCCAGCTCAGCGCTTGGGCCATATTTGCCTTTTTGGCAATCAGACAACCACACTGATTTATTATTTAACCAAGAAGCTGGCTAATGGAGCACAAAATACCATACATGAATTGGCACAAGGACTAGTACTATTGGGTCCCTTGTATGTGTGGTGGTTGCTATTGTTTTTCCTACCACCAAAAACCCTGAGATAAGTTTTACTAATTCTTTGCCCCATCCTTCTGCTTTTTTATGCTTCATTCTTAACAACTCAAATCTGTAGACTTCTTAAAGGACAATTATCCTGGCAGGAGCTGTTGCAGGAGTAAACAAGTCTGCTTTCTTTGTCCTGAGCTGGTAACTCATGTTCCAGAGCTCTCCTAGGAGTCAGGCTAATGGGACTCCAGTTGAGCATATATCTTTGCTTAGTTTCCTTCCTTTTCCTATTGTTTCTGATCATTCTTACTGGTTTCCTCTGGAAATGCTCACTGAATAAATCATTTGCACACCTCCCTTTGTTTCAAAGTTTGCTTCTGAAGAACACAATCTAAGGTTCATGTTATATGTCAAAAGCCAGGAATGGGATTCAGATCCAGTGTCTGCCGGTTGGCCTTCTGTCACTTGGTGATTCTGTGGTTTAATCTTAGATGAGCTCCTTATTTTTGCTTTCCTGCCATCAGGGGAAAAAAGTACCAGAAGAAAAGTCTTAGGAAAGTATTCCTACTTTATTGAATTTAGTGTTTTTCATTCTTTGATAAGTATGCCAAATAAGTTACAACAGTTTATTAAAATTTTATGCTGTTTAATTAGCAAGGTTTGAAGAACGTGACTATATTATGTTGTTGTTTACAGGGAGTAAATAATACCCACTAAAAGATTTATGTGGAAGACCACCCTGACCAAAGTCAGAACTGACTGTAATACAGAGCAGGCATTTTCCCCCCTATAATTGGCTGTAATGTTCTTGGAGCTGGACTAAAGCCTATGTGACTCACAGGGGCATGCTGGAAGGTGCTAAGGGCTAGTACAGCTTGTGTGCCAATGGCTGCCATGGAAATCTAAATCCTGCTCTGTGAAGCTGCAGGGACCCTACTGAGATAATACAGCAGCTGAGGACTGTGTGGTTCCAATCCACATTCCATCTCCAGAGCTGCCCATCCCTTAATTGTTTTCAGTAAACCATAACTGACCTTTGATCAGTTCTGTTCCTTCTTCAAGAATGCCTAGTCCTTTCTACAAGCCTTGCCTGTGTCAGCTGATGTCGCCAGGTGCCACATGAGTCCCTCTACCCTATTCTTACACAAGCCTGTATAATCAATAAATACCAGTGGACCTGGGCTTTGTGGTCCTTGCTCGGCCTCATTGCCACATGTTTGGTAAGGCCCATTCCAGTGCCCTGCTCTCTGTTTAAGTCTTGTTTCTGTGCCTTTCTTTTGCCTACAGTCATACTGCCTTGCAGGAGATTGAGACCCTCGGCCAGGGCCTCGATAGATTTACAGTGTTTTTATGGATTCTGTGTTTTTCTCAGTCAGTTACCCTTCAAAGATAACTGCCAAATAAATAATGGAAACAATAATAATGGAGTCACATAGAAAGATAAGCTACTGTCCGTTTTGATGATTAATTAGATGTTATCACAACCATTTTATTAACATGAAAACTTCCGTGTGACCAGAAGATATTTTGTTTTCAAGATGGACCTTACATAGTGAAAGGTTGAAAAGTAACTGAATAAAGGGTTTCTGGAATGAAATCCTCCTCACTTGCTTGTGTTTCCCCCTAAATATATATATTTGGCCATAGAGCAAAGACACAATAAATTACATATTTTCAAAGGCAATTTTTGTTTAGAATTTCTGTTCTTTTTATAAATTTCAGGATGTGCTATAAATGATGAATAATTGAAACTAATTTCATGAAATTAAAACTGGTTTCTTCTCTTTTCAAAACAGTTACCATAGGCCATGAGGGTGGTACTTCATGTTCCTAATTTCCACATGGCCTTGCCAAATGAACAGATTACAGATCACATTCTCCTTGGGCCCTGTACCTCCTTAATGACAGCATAAAGAGAAGATACAACTTCTCGATTGAGACTTACCAGGTTTGGAGAATTTCTTATCCGTAACATAGGACCAGCAAACAACTTCAAAAATCAGTCCTGTTACAGACACTACTCACTCCTAAAATAGTCTGATGTATAAGATTTACTAATATTTGAAAATTGTTTCTTTGCAACGGACCAGCAAACAACTTCAAAAATCAGTCCTGTTACAGACACTACTCACTCCTAAAATAGTCTGATGTATAAGATTTACTAATATTTGAAAATTGTTTCTTTGCAACTTGATTTAATGTAGGCATTATGGACATTTTACAGCTAAGGAGAGCACCAATCCAGTTTTGGAGAGGAACACTCCCGATGATCCAGGAATAGGGAGAAAGTCATTGCCATATTCTGTTGTTGTTCATTTGTTTGTTTTGATTTTTATAAGACAGGGTCTCACTTTACAGTTCAGGCTGGCCTTGAACTCACTATGTATCACCGGCTGGCCTCAAGCTTCCAGTGAGCTTCCTGTCTGTTTCCCAAGTGCTGGAATTGTAGGCAATGCACCAACACACCCAGCGGTAGTTGTTCCTTTAACAGGCCATCCCTCTACCTCTTTTGAGGACAAAATCATATTTTTTAATTTGACTTAGTGATTTTAATACATCTTCCATTTTGCAATACTTTATATATTTGTTTATTACTTGTTATTCTTATGTGCACTTCTGGTGGGATGGAGGGTGCTAAAAACTGACTTGAAAAAGGTGAAAGCTTTATTCTGTAAATAGATATAATTTCGAAGTGTAAGTTTGTGGCATCAAAACAGGAAGTCTTTTAATTTGATGTATTTCTTCTTATAACTGTCATGCATTCTGATAAAACAACGAGCAAAGTTGCAATTCTTGGACTAAAACACTATTTTTTTTTTTGTTGCTAGTTATGTAATCTGGAATCCTTAAGTTATAATTAACTATGACTAATGAATATGTTTTTCTCATATAGGCCCCTATAATTGTCCCTGCCTTTATTCCTATTTCTCTTTAATTTTAACATGGATTGAGGGGAGTTATCATTTCACACACAAATAGTGTTAACTGTCATCTGAGATTGTTCTTAGAAAGTCAAATTTATGATTCTCTCTGGAAATCTGGTTGCTTAAGAAAAATTTCAAAATGCGTAAAATGCATACAAAGTTATCTTTTACTCATTCTGGTGTCTCTCTTTCATCACCAGTTGCAGTTATCTAGTTATTGTATCCTACCTTAAACTTTGTAAAGAGGCTGAGTGTGTAGCTCAGTGATAGAGCAATTGGCTCAATCTCTACCACCTCAAAATATAAATTAAAAGATTCTGAACAAAAGTAGTAGAGAGGAAATTGCATTTTTTAGACATTTAAAAAATGTATCTTATAATTTTCTACCTTTCATTTTATAGATTTATTTTTGTAGTGCTGGAGAATGAACCTAGGACATTGCTCATGCTAGGCAACTGGTTTACCATGGAGCTATGTCCCGAAGGCCTTGGAATTTTAAAATCTTTTTTTTTGTAGGCTTCAATTTTATTAGAATTTACTAAAATGGACATTATTGAACATAGAATATTATTCTAAGTATGTTGGTAATATACAGTGAAGTCCTAAACATCATAAGAGATAAAATTGGAGTGTCTGAATTTTCTTAGTAGGCTATTTTATTAGAATTTACTAAAATGGACATTATTGAACATAGAATATTATTCTAAGTATGTTGGTAATATACAGTGAAGTCCTAAACATCATAAGAGATAAAATTGGAGTGTCTGAATTTTCTTTTAGTAGGCTATTCTTTGTCATTTATTCATTGATACATATATAATATATATATATATATATATTATATATATGCACATGCATAGTTTGCAGTGATAGTCAAAAATTTTTCTTGGCTAACACAAAATCAATTACATGTATCCCATCTGTCTGCATTTGGGGTCCTACGTTAGAAGATTCTGAGACAAGCAGAATGCAAGACATTGATTTGGGAAATGATTCTAAGAGGTACCAATAACCATAGGATGGATCTGACAGATTTCAGGCTCTTGTGTACAATGAGCAAAGAATTGCAAGCGTATATCCAATGGTAAGAGAAATAAAGCCACATTTATTGAAGACCACAGGAAGAACTGCTCAGGGAGGTCTGTGCCTAGAAAAAAGTGGCATGTACAGAAAAATGGTGCTGGGACAACAGGTAAAATGGAAAAATAGCATAGATAAATCAGGCTTTCAGATCTTAAGAGAAGCGCACCCCTGCACAGCGTGTCTCCTTGGGTCACTAAGTAAGATGAACCGGAATGATTAACAGAGTGCTGAGTCATGCTGAGTCAGGGGTTTTCAACAAGTCTGGGTGTTCCAGAGCTCACTCAGATTAATTTACAGGTCATGGTGGAAAGAAGATGGCCCTGGGACTTTGCCCAAACTAAAGTGAAAGGAGGGGAGTGGTCTCCCAGCCCTCATTGTGCTATTTGTACAAGTTTTTCAGCATGATTTTGAAGGAAAATTACATATGAGAGAATTTCAGTATTAGATTTAAGGGAGCAATAACACAGAGGTTAAAAAACAATCAGCCAAAGTAGGAGGAAAAAACAAAACAAAACAAAACAACTTGGTTTCAGCACTAGCTTGGGGTATGGAAATACTGAGAAGCAGGATTTCCAATCTAGGCTTAAATGAGGTTCTGAATTGTTTGAAATATTTAGCTAAGGAGTCTGTAATTTATCTTGCAACAAAAGAACCCTTAAAGTTTGCAAACAGAGGCATGCCTTTTCCTAGGATAACATATCTAAAGTGGATCTTGTATTCACCTATATAGAATTTCTACTACTTATACCTAAAATATTTGTTAGACCTAACTAGAACACTACCACTACATGGAATTCCTATAATAGTGATTAAACCAAGGTAGAAAACATGAAAGTGTTAATGGAAATGAATGTGTACAATTCAGAAGATCACTTCTGAAGTAAGTTACAGATCATTCCTATTTTAGATATTGATCCTGCAAAGTCATAAAGTTTTCTTTAAAACAAATGAGAAAAGTAATGACTAGTCCAAATAAACAGAAATGATGGCTATTCAGAAAGTAGAAACTGGAATAAGATATAAAAGGAGTGTTAGAATAAGATACATTCCCTTATGATATAGGCCATCGAACATGAGGGAACTGACAAAAAAACCCAATAGTTAAAATATGTTATGATAATTTTATGATGAAAGTAAGGTTTAGTTTGGGTATAATTTTAAGATGTAATTATATGTAAAACTTTTGATGTCACAAAAAAGAGATCTTGTGGGATTAAATTTTTAGGGAATCACAATATAACCTTGCTTGTTCTTACCTGAGGATACCAAAGGACAAAACGGTTGGGTTATATAGTAGATTTCCTCAGCATGCCAAATATACCACTTCTGTGACTGGTGGCTCATCTTTAACTGCAGGATCTATATCACCTGGCTGGAGAGTTTTCTACACAGCTGTTGATGTTTTATTTTCTTTACTGCTCATACACATGGTAAGCTGAAAATAAGGAATTAACAGTTTCAGGAGCAGCCCTTGCCCAGTAACTGAGGGAACTGGTGGCACATAAATCCCCAGCTCTTCAATTGGGTAACTCCTGGATGTTTGTTCTCCCTGTCTCCTTGAATTACCTAGCAAGATTGAGCTTTAGTAGACTCACAGTGGTCACCTGCTTTACAGCACACGGTACTAGCTTCCTTCCCTTCCTTTTCTCATTTCTTCCGCTGTCCTACTGGTGCCTCATGGATCACCCCCTAAATCAATTTCTTGCACTCAACTTCGAACACATTTTCATCAGTCTATTGTAATTTGGAATGTATCCGGGTTTTGCTCTTGGTTCTCAAAGACTGTGTCCCTTCCTTATGCACTAAAGTCTCAGATAGCTGTCTCTTAGGACGCATGGGAATGGGTTCCAGGACTCTCTCTCTTCCATACAAAAATCCATGGGGGTTCAAATCCTTTACACAAAAATGAATACTGTTTGCTTCTTATCATCTATGCACATCCTCCCATATAGTTTTATGTCAACAGTACATTACTTATGATACCTAATACAATGTAAATGTTTTGTAAGAAACTGTTATAGTTGTGTAGGGAATAATGACAAGAAAAATGTTTATATATGTTTATCACAGACATAATTTGTTCCCAGTGTCTTTGATCATTGGTTGAATTTGTGAATGAGGCATGGAGGGCTGGCTGTAGTGCTTATTTCTCTCATTTTGGCATGGTAATTACAGCAGCGGCCCAGTTACACCAATTTTCTCACTGTGGAATCCATGCAGTCTGCCTAATGTTGCTAAACGTCCTCTTCTGTCTCTGGGTTTGACTGTGACTAGTTTTGACCAATAGGTTTTTAGTTAAAGCTATGTGTAGAAACTTGTAAAACTCTTGTGTAGTCGGGCTCACTCTCAAACTTGCTCCTCCCAAGGCCATGAGAACATGCCTGAGCTAGCTTGCTGAAGGATAAAATATGCCCTAAGCACATCAGCCAACAGCCAGGTCCCATCCAAGAGAGTGAGCCCAACCAGTATCAATACAGCTGTTGGTTACCCACCACAGACCCATGATCAAACCCAGGTAAGAATACAGAATCATTTGAAATCACACACTTGTGAACCAAATAAATGTTTGTTGTTGTGTATACCAGCTATTTGTAACAACCATATCCTCTTTTAAAATACTTTCTATGTTTTTATATCCATTTTCTCACTCTAAGGAAGACATTGTGATACTGACTTCTACAATCAAGTACCTAGTGGATATGGAAAAACACTTTACTTATTTTAAATAAAGGTAATGGCTAGTTTCTCAAGTTTAATATCTAAGAACCATAAATTTATTTGTCCTTAGTGTTTATAGAAGTAGTTGGAGTCCTTAGAAAATAAGAAGGAAGCCAATTAAAATAAACATTAAGTAGTAGTATAAACTTTTCTATGAAAATAAATATATTACAAAAAATTAAGAATGCACAAATATATATTTGTAGCCATACATTATCAATTTAAAGCTTTTAAAATAATGTAGCTGCAATTTATTCACTGAATTTTCTGGCAGGTTTAGCCAGTTAAAATTGGAAAATGTCATCAAATTTAATTCTTATCATCTGCTTTAAAATATTATATCTCATCAAAAGAAAATCATTCTTTTATTTATATTATTTTTGCTTTTCTACTTTGGTTTCTACACTGATAAACAGAAAGTTTGAAGGTCTCTGTCTAACCTGATACAATTGAACATTTGACATTATATCTCTCAGCATAAAGGTGACATAGGACGCGCCCACATTCACCCTCACCTGAAATCCTATGGTTTTCTATAACGATGGGAGCTTCCACAAATAACTGGATTGTTGCCGTCCTGTACCTTGCAGCCTGGACATATGGTGGGCTTACAGGAGCTGCAGCTGTTGAATAGCTTCCTAAGGCTGCCATCAAACAACATGATTATTTACATAATTAGGGTGGTTCTAGTTTACTCTTAAAATCCAAAGACATAATTAAAATGTGTATGCCTCAATATTTTTGAATATTTTAAAATATACAAAATTGTGGAATCTCTAGCACATGTTTAACTTTTACTGGAAGAAATACCACAATGTTGCTCATCTCTACTACACTCTTGGTGGTTTATTTTTAAAGAGGTTTGTTTATATCCCTCAATGTTCAATAAAGTGAGAAATAAATTTAGAATTTCAAAAAAGTGAGAAATAAATTCAACTATAGTGGAGTGAGAAATAAACTTTCACCTTCAGTAGAGTGAGAAACAAACTCATTTTTTAAGGAAAACCATGCAGTGCTTGTCATGTAGCCATTGTATACAGATATAGTATCCATCTAATTTATTCAAAGTGGTATTAAAAATAAAGGGTGCACACAAGCCATCTTAATTATATATTTTGAAAAATTAAACCAATATTACAATAAAATATTGGCAATACAGTGTATGAAAATACTCAAGATCTAATCAGAAGGTTATGGAGTTTATAATGAAACGGAACAGATTATGTAGTGAATGAATGACTAACATTGAAATATGGATATAAATTCCTTTCATCTGGGGCACACTAGAGAGGAAGGTTTTTATGCATAATAATTTTAGCATGCTACCACTTTGTAATTTTATTCCTCTATGGAAAACTTTTCAAGAGAAACTAGTCAGTGCTGAAAAAACTAAAAATCCATTCACTTCTTTCCTTCATTTTACTTGACATAGTTTTGCTTAAAACATACCATCTCAGGAATTCCTGCAGATATTTAATCTTCTTCATGCTTTCTCAAAGGCAAAACACATTTTTAAAGGCAGCTATAAAATCTATAAATACAATGGAACAGAACCTTACTGCATAGAAACGATGCCCATTCGAGGCGAGAATATCTTCCTTAATTCCAGATTTCTTCCAGATGGCTATTTTGAAATGTTTTACTTCCTTTCAATGAGATTTTTAGTATTTCAAGCAAATTACATATCTGTGGGTCTTGATGTTCTGGCAAGAATTTGTCTCACTGAAATGAGGAATTGTGTTAATCAAAGCAGTGAAAAAATAAATAACAATGAATTTTCAAGCAAGATTTATAATACACAGAAAACAGACTTCAAATAAGATCAATACATGTACAAATATGATTTTTAAAATAAATATTTACTAATATGTCAGTAATAAATATTTTGTTTTAATGACCAGTTGAGGAAAAACATATATTTACTTTGAGTCCTGGGAACTTGTCTGGGACTAAGATAAAATAAGCCATCTTGAACAGTGTGAGCCAACATTTTGTTAGGGAGTTCTAACAATGATGAGTATCCCTGATGACTTCTATTTTATGACTTAACTATGTGAGATTCCAGAACTGAATTCTATAGGGGAACTAATAGTTAAGAGGAACAGTAGGACTTACTTAAAATATACTTTTTATGGTTTCACATTGTAGACCACAAAGAAAAGAGACCTATTCTTAAAAGATTAAAATAAGCAGAAATGAGCCAAAGTTTATTAATACAAGGAGTACATCCAAATTTTAGCAGTGACAGCAGAGCTAGTTCACTCAGAGGTTAGCTAAATAATTATTTTAAGGACTCACTGTCCTTTCTTGGAAAATGAACTACACTGTTAAAAGCTCTCATGACGTGAAAAATTAGAACAGTTATTAATGTGGATTAATATCTGTCATAAAGCAATGACTTCACTTACTGAATTACAAGAGACACATTAGATGTTTATTTAGCATTTTACAGTTAGCAGAGTTGTGCTGAAATCATAACACCACTTATATTTATTAGACAGGTCTCTCTTGGCCTATCTCAGTTGCTGGGCCTAATCTAGGTTGTTTATTGTAATCATAGGTAGGTTTAGCTCTAGTTGCCTTTGACATGGAGAGAGAAAATAAATAGAGAATTTTCTGAGAATTGAGGGTATTCTCTTTTGAATAACCATTCAAAGGTTCTTGAACAGGACTGAGATTTAGGGTGTGCTGTGTGCTCTTCCATTGCTCAGAATAGTACTGAAAATATCATAAAAATTTAAAAATAAAATGTTTTTAATGAATGAATGATGGTACCACAAAGAATTGACAAAAATAATTTAAGATGACAGTTCATTTGGAAGGTATCTTTTCCAATTCTAAAAGTATTAAAAATATGGATATAGGTTAATTATTAGGATTAATTACCCTCTGATTCCTCATTTGGATTAAATTGGAATGAAATGTCTGGAAGGTGAATATGTATGCATAACAAAATTCTATGTATTCAGTTTAGTCATTTATCATAAATTATATCATCCATACTGAAACTCAGTTTATTGTGCTGTTTTCCAAACTTACTTGTCTCATAAATTTAAATCACAGTTGTGATCGTTTATTATTCTACACCTTTACCTTTTCCTCTACAAATGCTTCAGGCAGAGGCAAAATTGCTTCCATCTTTGTCTTTCTATTAGTTTTAATTACTATCTGCATTATTTTAACAAATATGAAAGAATTAAACTATCAGCATTAAAAATTTCTGAAATGAGCTCATCACCTCTTACTAAATTTTGTCTCTATCCAGGCCTTTCAATATTTTCTGGCATTATAAAGTACAAGAATCAGCCTAATATCCTCAATGCTATCTTTGACTAATGTTCATTTTTCCTTATTCAATAGGTTAAATTTTATCTACTCTATTTCAAAACTTATTTCCAGTTAATAATCTCATTAGCAATTCCCTTTGTTTCACCTACAGTCAGGTTCTCATTTTATACCAACTCTTCTCCTCAGGATTTTGTCACTCCTGGCTTTAACACTACTTTGTCCATAATGTATAAGATTCCTAAAGTTGCCTTCCCAGAATAAGGACATATCAGTTCTCATTTCTCAACTCAGAAGAATTTCACAAGTCTCTAAAGGCTACTGAGACAAACCCAACACAACAGTCAAGACCCATCATAATTGAACCACTTTCTATCTTCGCAATCCATGTCCCTTTACCTACTACTCATCCTCAATTTTAGGCTTCATGATCCTCTGATTTGGGGATCATGAGTTATCAATATTTTGTCAGTTCTTTATAAAAATAACTGTTATTTTAATACCTTCTTAAGCCCGTCTTGCCTTCCATAAACCCTACCAATCTTTTAAGATTGAAATCAGAAGCATGTATCTGGTATTAACATTCTGCCATGTGGATTTGTTTCTACCATTTGTTTGGGTGGATTAATTTAGTAAAATCTCTCCATAATGACTCAGCTAACACCTCAGTGATATTTGTGAAAATAGATCTCAGTTATATTTCACTGACTATAACTAAATGCATTTTATACATCCTCAGAGAACGTGACTTCATAGGCCAAAGATGAAAATATTTTGCTCAATAAAATGCCAGTAATTAAACCTGAAGTATATGTATATAATGTTAATGATGAGGACTACACTTATAACTTGAAATAAAAATAGTGCAGTCTTTGAAATTATTTTGATTAGTTTATTTCTGTTCTTTTGTATTCTGTTCATTTTTTCTATTAGTCTTATCAAAATGATTCCTCTCTTCTTTGTTTCTACTCAGTAGCACCTCTGGATTTCACCTTTGAGTGACTTTTTGTAGCAAAGATTACCACTATACTTTTGTGGCTATTCTTTATTTATCTCATAAAGTAAGGATAGTAGTACATAATCTTAATTGAGGTCTTAGCCTCTGTTCAGCATCATATTGAGTCTTTGCGTTTATCTTTTCATGCGCTTGTCTCCTTGCTTGTGGTGTGGGTACTATTACTATCCCTTTTGTGATTCCCATAACCACTCTTGGAGTGACTTATAAGCTGTTTTTCAAAAATAAGTACAATATTTGATTTCCAGAAACAAATTGGATGCAAAACTTCACTAATTATCAAGAGAATATAAATTAAAACTACTGTCTCAATGCTGCTACATAGAAAGGCTAAAATGAAAATTATACCCAATATTAGTTTTCTGAGATAGACAAATAGAAATTCACCTTACTTTGGAAGACTGCGCAACAGAATTACATAAAGCTAAGTAGATATATATTCTTTAACACACACTTAACTCCTGGTGAAACATCCATAAAAATATTTGAACATATATTCACTAAAAGTTATCGACAAAGATGTTCATAATAGCACTATTTATAGTAGCCCACACTGAAAAATACTAATGCTTGCCATTAATAGAAAGGCAGGATGCTGGCTGTTAACAAAATAAAAAAGCAAGAAAAGCATAAGAGAGTCGGAATGATTGGGTGCCTCTGTTAAACTGGCCAACAAAATTTATTTTAAGTATGTGATATTAAACTGAGATGGCAAAATAAGGGAGTTGTAGTCTTGCTCACAAAAGGGGAAAACTTTTTGGCCTCAAGAGATAACCTAGAGCAAAGACCAAGGTGCAGGAACTAGTTTGCTGTGTTTAATAAGTATCAGAAGACCGGTGGAGCAGAATGAGGTAAGCAAGGGAGGAAGGCAAGGGATGTGGTCAGAGGGTTGCAGGGAATGACATGGGTGGAAACTCACTGGGGTTCAATCAGAGAATTCCACCATCCAATTGCATTTTCAAAGTTTATATGCATTATATATAAATGAATGTGTATGTATTTGTTAAATATACATTTCATAAATTAGATATATATGCTTAATTATTTATATATACTTATACATGGATTAATTTGCTCACATTAATTTAATGGATAATGAAATAATAGAATCTCTTTTATCCCTAGCCATTGTGCACAAGTGATCAGGGTAGCCAAATAAATGTGCATTTTGTGATCCTGGTTGAAGGAACTGTGAATAACTCTGGAAGTGTCCAATTATATACCTAACCAAGACATGAGTGAGGAGAGTTCCTCAGAGATTAGCACTGGTGGGGAGAGAGGGAGAGAGGTGGAAGAGGACACAGGAAAACAGGATGTGGATATGTGAACTCAATTGCTATTTCACTTTTGGTGGAAATTCCTTTAAGGAAGTGATTATTATAAAGGATTATTGAAAGGAACAGGAATATAAATAAACCAACCAAACAAACATATAAATTGAGACATCAGTTATTATAGGAAATGTTTTCCTCCTTTTCCTATTTCTTTCTTTTTGTTAGAAATCCTGGCTGTCTCAAAAGTGGAGAAATTTAGTATGGAATAACTCACTCCAGGGCTCATCTCTAATTTTTTAAATCTTGCTTTTTAAAGAATGTAAAGTTATTGGGAAAGGCAACAGTATTATCCAGTTAAATTTAGTATGCATTGGCATTACTTACAGTGATTTGGGGAGTCTCTTAAGAAGAAGGAAATATTGCTGCACTGACAGTGAAATTAGAAAATTGTGCAAGCTAAAGGCAACAGTATTATCCAGTTAAATTTAGTATGCATTGGCATTACTTACAGTGATTTGGGGAAATATTGCTGCACTGACAGTGAAATTAGAAAATTGTGCAAGTAGTTATGTTGAGCTGGCATTGAGATGTGGATGGCACACCTGTTTTATGCTAAACGATACAATAGAATGAGAAAGTCAGCAAGGCAGCATTGTTCTCAGCTGCTTTAAAGGCAAGGGGTCACAGAGACAGTGCTGACACAGGCCTGTTTTTAATGGATTTAAAATAGTCTCAACCTATTGAAATCATGCACAGCATGTGCAAGGACTCGGTCTGAGTGAAAGCAGAGAGGGAGCTGGATAATGGAAAAAGCTGCAAGAGCCATGAGTATTTTCTCCAGGGTGCCTCCTACTGTTCTTGCTTGTGCATGGCCCATCCTGCAGAAAGTCTACCACAGTTTAAACAACAGCACTATTTGAGGACCCAAGGCTTAAAAATCAGCCAGAGTGATTGTTCCATCCTCTTACCCAACTCTTGGACCAATCTTCAAAATTTATGAACTTGGGCGATCCTCTGGTTGTCCAGTTGTTACGAGGCCAGCTGTTCTCCATTAAGATTTAATCCTCTTTCAACACTTCATAAACATGCTGGTTGAGAAACAGGAGCAATTTTATCAAACCAGAAGTAATTTGGTGGGAAAA